ACTATAAGCTTTATCAAAAAGGAAAGTTTTAAGCATACCCTTAAAGGGAGACAAACAACTCAACACATATTTTACAATGGGCTAATTAGAACATTAAAAATCAAGGCACTAATTAATAAAAATTAATACTTCTGGGGGGCAAAAAATATGTGATCCAAGTTTTTAACCTGGGAATGTTATTTGGCTAATATGATTCTCCTTCACTGAAAGCATAAAACCTTTCGGATGATTTTAGTCTGCCGACTTACTGTCTCTGAATCTCCCCACAGTCCATCCTATGATTGGATGAGGAAGCTGACCCAAAGGAAGAAGCAAGCTAAGAAAGGGAAAGCCTCACTGCTGTTTGACCATCTGGAGCCTGTGGAGCTGGCAGAACACCTCACATTCCTGGAGTTCAAGTTTATCCGGAGGATATCAGTACGTCAACCTGTACACATTCAACTCAAACCTCTAATGGTGCTGAGAGGTTCATGAGAAATGCTGATGGTTTCCTTCCCACTGGAAGCCTGAAACTGACTGTGGACAAACCTTTGCTGTACAGTCAGTTGATAAATTAGGCTAAAAAAAAGTTAATAATTTCAGTAACTCAGATCGCTGATGGAAACGCAGACTGACCATTTATCACTGTTAACCACAATAATATTCTACTTATAGCACATAAAAAAAACACTTTCCTGAACATTTGACTGTAGACGTAAACAAAAATATGTTTAATACCTGCTTAGAGGTTGTTGTTTTTAAAAGGTATTTTTAATCAGACAGACAATCCTCAGCAGAACCGATATCCAGATATATTGGAAATGGCTATTTAGCAAAACGTTACCAACTTAGGAAACAGAAGCACACAAGTACTGGGGGTGCTGTGATTTTTTTTTTTTTTTTTGGACAAAAGGCCTATGAGCCAATACTCCTATTTAAAATACAATAAATAAAACTAAATAAGTAAATAGAATGAGATTTACTACTTTATTGTCATATACAGTGGACACAACTAAGGTCTGTAACACACAGATATAATCAGTTCTCAGGTGAGTATATTCGCTATTAATTCAACTTTACAATAAAACTATAACATGGTAGATTTGGTCAGCTGGCCTGAACCTGAGTCTATTAACTTCAAAATCCTTTTATGCAAAGAATACACAAAGAATACAAGATCAAAATAACAATCTAAAATACTATGGTTACGTTAAACTGCAGGAATAGATATGAAAGTATAATTAAACTATTGGTGCTTCAACATACCAGGAAGCAGATTTCTCATCTCGATCAATATATTTGTTTTATACCGAGAGGCTTAAAAGTTTAATCAAATCCAGTCAAAACTTCCAAGAGCGCTTCCG